ATTCTTTGGTGGTGCGTGCTGAATGCGATGGTGCTGAGTCCTGTTGGAATGTCCAAGGTCTGTGGCCAAAATGCTTGCGTGCCCAAGGCTTTAATACACCCTCCAGAATATTTTCGCGATAATATTCGGCATTTATTCTAATGCCACGCTCGATTAATACGAGCGGAGAGCGACCACCGGCTGTTATGGCGGCTCAAACCAACACCATGGCCGGCGCTTGAGTTCTGACGGCCAACCGAAGGTGCACATTTTAAGCTGACCTCTTTGGCAACTAAACACGATCATTTTGTTTGCTTACAAGCTGCTGGACAACGAATGTTTTCTCTTTGGAGAAAACTAAATTCAGCAGTTCACCACTTTCGGCCAAGCGAACCAACTCTTTACCTCTTTTGAGTCTATTTTCTTTTTGTTGCGGTGTAAGTTATTGCACTTTTTGGAATTTCAATGGCTTTACTCCGAGCTCATTTTTCAATATTTTCCGAATGGAATATTGCGATATGTTCAGCTCACGAGCCATTTTTCGGCCACTGCGGGGTTCAATCAGTTCGAACCATTTCTGCTGATGTTGCTGTTTTCTTCCGTCTACTTCCTTGACGAGATTTATTAACATTTAAATGCTGGAGTGCCACTTGTGGTTTTTCTGCCAAATATAAAGAAATCACACTATCACGCCTGAATTCCATCACGAATAAATTTTTTTTTTTTTAAACAATATAATGAGCTGTTAGTGGAATAATTTTAACAGCTGTCGGGCGAGTGGCTTAAAAATAACAACAGTCTTAAGTTGATTGCAGTTTTTTCATCACCACCTGTATGTTTACGATATATGTGTTTATTTCTCTTTCGAAACGAGCTTAATGATTTGAATCTACAGTGGTTGCAACAAATGGACGGGCATAGAATTTTATGTTGATCAAGAATATGTAAACTTTATGGGGTCATATATACATATTTCATACACACCAAACGTCAAATATACTATACCCTCCACACTACTGTAATCAGTATAAAAATTTCCATAATATGATCGCATAAAAACCACCTAAGCAGTTATACAAGTGTTTCCTCCATACGACGCATACTATGGATCAGTTATTAATGCTTACGAAAAATTTCTCAATTTACCTGATGGATCGCATTACAATCATAAATCAGTGATTTAAGGCATTTTTTCGCTTTTCGAAGAAAATAAATTATATAAACATACCTTTATCAATGGATATTAAGTCTCATTTATAAATTAAATACCTTAGAAGGTAATATATTTTGTGGCTGAAAAGCCGACAACGAAAAAACTCTGTTAAATAATTTATTGTGCGTATGATCTTAACCTTGAAATATGTTATAGATATTTTTTGGAATGACCGCAGAAATGGGAATTTAGTGGAATAAAATGTGGGAGTGGAAGAATATTCGGATTTTAAGTTTAATTTATGTATGTCGCCACGATGCTGTTTATGACAATGTTAGTTAGTATTCGTTTCACAAATTTCAGCTTCAATTTAAAATATTTTAATTCTTTTTATACTCTTAGTCATATGACTACAGAGGGTATATATCATTAGATACGGCTAAAACGTGCCTTACCGTAATAACGGTAACCCTAGGTCTCTAGGACCAAATAAATTCAGAACATTTGGAGTCGATCTAGCGGTGTCCCCGGTGTCTCTCGAAAGGAGTATCGGATTTGGCTCAAACCTGGTACATCGTAATATTATTGTCAAACTAAGATTGTGTTCTGAGATGGACAACGTCAGTCCACTGCTCTTAGTACCTTTCCCACAAAAGGTCAAAATTTGCAAAGAAAATGATTTACCTCATCGAAAGAGAAATGATCATTCGATTTTGTGCATACTTTGCAACTCACAACATTATTTTCAGAGAAAATGGAGAATATCTCCCTCACAAATGGTCAAAATTTAGAATAATTATGACTCTCATAAATGCGAAATAAGCATCTGACTCAATCTTAATATTTCTACTAACACAAGATCTGGTGCGAATATGGAATATATTGGACTACTGCTTCTGGTACCTTCCCCAGAAAGGGAATACAAAATGTGAAATAAAGGTTCGATTGTCTTCAAATTTCGCAAATCCCAATACTTTTATTTACATAGATCTGGTGTGAAGGTAGGATATATGGGTCCACTCTTCTGGTACCTCCCACACAATGTGACAAAAATTTTTAATAATTATATCCCTCATAAAATACGAAATAGGCATCAGATTCTCTGCACATCTCACATAATTTAATATTTGTACTGACGCAAGTTCCGTTTTTAATAATGATAGACATACGTCTCCCCATCTAGTACCTCTCCCACAATGCTTCACGGTTTTCAATACATATATCTCCCATAATATGTAAAACACCAGATTATTCCCAAAGATTTAGTGGTAGATATTTGATTTCTTTTAAATTTTTCACATCCCAATATTTTTATCAGTATTAGGTGATGTGGAATGTTTTGGTCCATGTATCTGGTACCTCAAGCATACATAATTATTACGGGCACGTTGTAATATATTCAGGGTGAGATGAAAAAACTGCAACCAACTTCAGACTGCAGTTATTTCTAAGCCACTTATCCGACAGCTGTTAAAATTATTCCAGTGACAGCTCATTATATTGTTTACAAGCATACAAAAGCTTTTTGGTGAGCATTTTCCAGAAAAAAAGCAACGGAAAGAAAATGGATTCAAAAGAGCTTAAGAGTTGCTTCTCCTGGCCGAAAGTGGTGAACTGCCGAATTTCCAGCAGTTTGTAAACAAACAAAATGATCGTGTTTACTTGCCAAAGAGGTCAGTTGAAAATGTGCAGAACTCAAGCACCGGCCTTGGTGATGGTGTGGGCCGCCATAACAGCCGATGGCCGCTCTCTCTCTCTCTCTCTCGTATTAATCAGAATAAATGCCGAATATTATCGCGAAAATATTCTGGAGGGTGTATTAAAGCCTTGGGCACGCAAACATATTGGCCGCAGACTTTGGACATTTCAACAGGACTCAGCACCATCGCACTCAGCTGGCACCACCCAAGAATGGTTACAACAGGAGGTTCCTCGCTTCATTTTCAGCGTACAAGGGCCACCAAAATCTCCGGATACCAATCCGTTGGACTATTGTGTCTGGAGTATTTTGGAAATCAAGGTTGGCACTAAAAATCACCTCAAGCAAGCGCTTCGCCGGGAATGGACCATAATACCACAGAGCAACATTCGGGCAGCGTGTGAGGGTTTCATTGGCCGTTTGAAGGCCATAGTTTGTAACATAGATGATCAATTGGAACAAATCTAAACTTATTCTAAAATTTGATGCTATTTAGAAATAGCCTCTTCACTCATGATTACTTTCGATGAATAATCATCTACTTTTTGGTGGTGATTAAGGATGGCTTGAGCGTATGTTAGGCGCTTCCATGACATCCTTGGATACAACAGCAATACCCTCTGCAGAACGGATACTCCGGGGTCTGCCACGTCTGGCAGCGTCTTTTGTTGTGCTAGTGTCTTCGGGGCGAGCGGCTAAATTTCCCAGTGTTTCACAAGTAGGCGTTGGACGGCCAGGAAATCTGCGACAAAATTCACGTTGTGCTAACGTCACCGACCGATTAGTGGTATAATCAGCAATATTCCGTGTTCTGGAGCAGTGTAGCGTAACATTGTTCATTAACGTGCATTTCGCATGTGTTTCACATTAGGGGTCAATAGTAAAATGTATAGCATTTTCTGATAGGTCGATTACTTTTGGCGCCACCTTGTATATGTTTTAACCGATTTAAATTTTTTCTCTTAAGCATTCTTAAAAGACATACATACCACAAGGATGATATTTGGTCCTATAGATAACATACAACATAAAATAATCTCCGTCAAATTTAGTGAAAGTCAATTAAGATATAATTTCTATCCATCTGATTTCAAGTTTTAACCGCTCTAAAGCCGTAGTAAACATTCGATAGGGATTATTGTTGGTATTATTTACTTCACGCAAACTCTCAATATGAGCGTATATTTTTGCCTCAGGCATAGTGCTAAATATGTATAGTGGCCTATATCATAAAGTCGGCCGCTCCCGATTTTTGTTCTTTGTCAGCTGATTAAAAAATCTTAACCAGAGAGGGGTTAAATTTTAGGATTTCAGACCAGACTTCAAATCTGACGCAACTTCTAGCTTGTTTGTAGCAAGACAATAAGTACATACCAGATCCAATAAGAAATAACCAGATCCTTTTTGAGCACACGAAAAATGGTACCTAATTATTTAGAATACCGGCATTTGAACACAGCAGACATTGCGACCTCGTTTTCGCCGTCTTTAAAAAATCTAAAATAATGAAAATTATAAAAACCTTGTTTACTACAACGCTTGTCTATGATGATATGCATTTTTCACTATTTACAAGAGTGTCACCGCAACCATTCATAGTCTATATTTAGTTATTTATACAGAGGCGCTAACGTGTTTCCAGGAACATTGCATCCTTTGTATTAAAGATTAATGACTTAGTCTGCGTTTTTTTCATTGTCCCCTTTCAGCTACCTACTATAATGTAACTATGACGTATGAATGTGTGCCACAAGACAGCCAACAATGCACAAATACATATAGGTAAGTATGACGTAGTTTTGTGGGTCGATCTGCAAGCTCATACACACATTTGTGGGCGGCATTTATATGCGAAAAGTAAGTGGGATGTCAATCGGGTGGTAATATTTTTCAACACGAATTACTTGGGTGGGAACCTACGTGAGCGAGCAGACATAGCAATAAAAGACAAAAGGACATTTGCAAATTCGTAAAAAAGACAACCTTCACACGACGTAGAAAAAGGATGATGAAAATTCAATAAAAGATTACAATGAGTGTTTGTGGCATTCTTTTTTGTGTATTTAGAGGATTATAGAAATAATTGTTGAAATGAGAACTGACATTTTTTGGATACTTAAAATCGAAATTTTTCAAATAACAAACACGTGGTTTTCTTGGTGTACTTACCAATTTTGTAGAGATGCTGCTGATGGTCACTCAATTTTGAATTATATAAGCTTGTATTGTTGGTAATGAATTCAACAAATTATTTTATTTTATCATATTCCATAAACTCTTTTCAGTATATTTATGATTATTAGTAAATTTTATTTACTTTTTTGGAATTACTTCACAGAAACTGAAATTTTACTTTTAACCCGCAATATAACTTTTTTACACACCTTCTCTTTATGTATGCCGCCGAAAAACTGATTTCTAATGGCCAAAAATATAACGTTGCTCTTTGCCAAGATGGTCTGCAAAGGATGCTATGCAAAAGGATGGTTGGTTGGTTGGTCTTTCATTGAAACAAGAACTCACAGCACAGAATCCAAAGTGTCCCTTCTCTCTTTGTCTCTCGCTCTCTCCGTTTTGGTGTCCTTCCATGTGTATGCACACAAATGTTTGTTTGCCCGCCTTTAAACACCGCCACCAAGCTTCGTCAATTTTTGTCCGAATGAATACTGAATGGCGGTATGTGTACTCCACACAGATACAACGTAAATCTCTGTTGGTATGCTGTGTGTGCATGTGACGTAGTTTTAACCGCAGACAAGTCGAATGTTTTTTATACCCTCCACCATAGTATGGGGGGCATACAAAGTTTGTCATTCCGTTTGTATCACCTCGAAATATACATTTTAGACCCCAGAAAGTATATATATTCTTAATCAACATAAAATTCTATGTCGATTTATCAATGTCCGTCCTTCTGTGGAAATCTCTCTAGCTTCCGAACGAAATTATGTAGGTTGATAGAATTTTACTCAAAGGTGTATTATGTCTGCAGGACTTTTGGCATTGAAAATGGGCCATGTAGGTCCACGTCTTCGTATAGCCCCCATATAACGGTACCTCCCGATATTCGGTATTTTGATGATTTTAGCGACATTATTTGCCGGAATTGTTTCAAATTTGGTATTTGAAGTTCGTAATGAATACTACAGCCTATGACAGAAAATTGTCTGTATAGGTCCACGTCTTCGTATAGCCCCCATATAACGGTACCCTCCGGTATTCGGTATTTTGACGATTTTAGCGACATTATTTAGCGGATTTATTTCAAATTTTGTATTTGAAGTTTGTAACGGATATTACAGCCTATGACAGAAAATTGTCTGTGCAGGTCTACGTCTTCGTATAGCCCCCATATAACGGAACCCCCGATATTCGGTATTATGATGATTTTAACGACATTATCTACCGGAATTATTTCAAATTTTGTATTTGAAGTTCGTAACGGATACTACAGCCTATGACAGAAAATTGTCTGTGCAGGTCCACGTTTTATAACCACCATGGTACCTCCCTATATTCGGTATTTTGAAGATTTTAGCTACATTATAAATATTTTTTTTTTCAAGTTACGAATTTGAATATTGTAATAGCTTGTGATAAAATTTGCCTATGCAGGTCCACGTCTTCGTATAGACCCTAATATACGGCTACATTCGGTATTTTTAAGATTTAAACAGAATTTTAGAGGGATTTAATTTTTTTGAAAATTATTAAATTTGTACCAAATGGTGGAGAGTATTGAGTGTTCGGCCCGGCCGAATTTACAGCTTTTTTACTTGTTTTTTTCTATATGAGTGCTACACAGCGTGGGTGCTGTGTTAAGTTGTTTCCTATGACATATTAGCGATATCAGAGATTTCGTTAGAATAAGTAATAACTAAATGTACATAAATGAAATCAAATAAATAGAAAATTAGATTAAATACCCTCCGTCAGGAGAACAACCGAAAGAATCGTATCGGACCTAAATAAATATGACATAAATATTGCGACAGGCCAGGTTTGGAATATACAATTTTATTGACTGAAAGCAAAAAATGTCGGATATAGCATCAAATTTTAGAATAAGTTTAGATTTATTCGAATTGGTCACCTTTGGCACGAATTATGGCCTTCAAACGGCCAATGAAACCGTCACGCGTTGCCCGAATGTTGCTCTGTGTTTACAATCTGCTGGAAAACGAATGTTTTCTCATCGAAGAAAACCAAATTCGGCAGTTCACCACTTTCGGCCAAGCGAATATTTGCCGAATGGAATATTGCGATATGTTCAGCTCACGAGCCATTTCCACGTGGGTTTCGATCAAGTCGCTTCTTTACTTTTCGAACCATTTCTGCTGATGTTGCTGTTTTCTTCCGTTCACTTCCTTGACGTCGGGCTACGCTACCAGTGTCACGGTAACGAGCGATGTTACGAGACACAAAAGATTTATTCACATTTAACGATAGAAACTCGTGGTTTTCAGCCAAATATAAAGAAATCACACTATCACCCTTGAATTCCATCACGAATAATTTTTTTTCTGGAAAATTCTCACCAAAATACTTTTGTACGCTTGTAATATAATGAGTTATCACTGGAATTTTAACAGTTGTCGAACGAGTGGCTTAGAAATGACAACAGTCTAAAGTTGGTTGTAGTTTTTTCATCTCACCCTGTATATATGTGATTGGGCAGACCAAAACGTGCCACATTGAAGTAACAGATTTAGACCCTAGGTCTCTGTAGACCAAATCCGTTTCAGTCGTGAAGATGAAACATATAGGACAGCAGATGGTGTTTAAAGTTCGTCTGATTGTCGTTAAAGTTCGTGTATCTCAATATTTCTATCAACATACGGTCGGGTGTAAATATGGAATATGTCGATCTACCCTTTCTGGTGCCTTCTCCACAAAATACGAAACATATTGATTACCCACAAAACTGGAAATAAGTTATTACTGAAAATCTTAATATTTTCATCAGTATAAGTATTATGTGTTTTAATAACCCACTCTTTCTTCTACCTCCTCCTCAAAACGTCAACATCTTTCAAAGAAATATGTTCAACAATCTCAAATAAAGGGGAGGGAATAGTCGATATAGTCTAAACCTGGCACGTCACAATAATTATATCAGACTTAGGTCATATGCGAAAAAAACCAGTAAGGAAAAATCAAAAGTCGAGCGGGGCCGACTAATTGTGACCAAATAACATTGCTGTATAGTGCTTTATATAACTTCGATAAGGATCATATTTAACAAGTAAGCAAAGGCTATAGTCGTGCGGGACCGACCATGTGATACCCGACAACACTACAATATGTAATAGGCCCCCTTACGTCCAAATCTATTTTGGAAAAATTTTTCAGTTTTTGGTTTATTTGAACCCCTAAATATGTTGCAATCATCTCAAATGGAAAAAAATGAGGCCCTCTGTATCTCAAATTTAGACTCATCTATATGATTTGCTTGTATACGATATGCTGCTATATTCGTCAACGAAATCAGCATAAAAAAGCCAGAAGTTCGCCTTTTGTGTATTTCGGATATCGTCTGTAAGTAATGTTAGTATTTTTTCACACAAAAGTAGTGGTCCATTCTATCCGCTGTCCTAAACTCTAACTTCATGTGAGATTTCGTGTCCTTTGTTTTTTATTTGTGACCTTTATAACGGCTGCAAAATCAGGAAATTTTTTAGTTGTTGTTCCATTTCAACCCCTAAATATATTGCAGACATCTTTGAAAACAATAGGCCTAGCCCTTCTGAGCCTAACCCTACCCTTGTGAAAATTTTCGTGAGGATCGGACGATAATTGCAATCTGTATATAATAACCCCAACCTGTGTTGTAAGGTGAAAAAATATTATATTTTGTAATATTTATATTTTCAATATTAAGTCAAATTGAAAAAATTGCATGCGATAAAAAATATGAAAAAATAAAAAAATGTCAGAAAATACCACAAAATTTATATCAACATCATTATGCGATTTTTTTCGAAGGTATATACTATATTATTTGGCAGAGGTTTTTTGAGCTGCCTCTGATGTCCGGTATCAAATATCATTTGTTGTGGAGTGCGAATGAAAAATATGTATATGTATGTAAATCTGTAATACGTATGTAAATCTGAACCGATCTTGACAAAATTTGAAACGCTTATTTAAGAAATGTGTCTAATAACTTGTACCAAAGATCATTGTTGCAGAGTGCATATTACCCTTGTGAAGGACCTAAACCCAAAATCGTATGAAACATATATATGGGAGCTATAGCTATATCTGAGTCGATTTTCACCAAAATAAAAGTACTTTTTTCTAGGCTGAATTCGTTCAGAATTGCAAAAATTCAGTCCATTTGGGCTGGTATAAGCCATTTGGGCACAATAAACATGAAATCAGTCGAAGATATATATATAGGAGCTACATCGAAATTTGAATCGATCTTGATAAAAATTGGTAGAGGTATTTCTGGGCTGTATCTGATATCTGGTACCAAATATCATTGTTCTGTAGTGTATATTTCGAATGTGAGGGACTTAATCATTAAATCGGATTAAACATATATATGGGAGCTATAGCTATATCTGAACCGATGTTCACCAAATTTGATGTACTTGCTTCTAGACTGAATTCGGTTGGATGTGCCAAAATTCAGGTCATTTGGACTTATATTGGCCATTTGGTGCACAATTAACCCGAAATCGGTTGAAGATATATGTGTTATCTATATCTAAATCTGATCCGATTATCAACCCAATTTCAATAGGGCTCGTCCTAGTTTCATATCAATCGGATAATAAATGCGACCTGCATTTTGTTCACAAAAATACATGGACAGACGGGCGGACTGACATGCATAAATCGACTTAGAAAGTGATTCTATAAAGATCCTTAAAAGTAACTATGGGTCTATCTCGCTTCCTTCTCCATGTAACAAACAAATGCACAAAGACATAATACACTATGTGGTGTAGGGTATACAAATTGAAGGACATTCTGCCCAAAAATCAAAGGTTTTTTTAAGAATTCTGACCAATACGTTTGATTATTTGTTTTTATTTCCCGGACAAAAATTTTACATTTTTAAAGGACTTCTTCAAGGACCTCTCAGGTCGAAGTCTAATCAAAATCGACAACCGACTACCCAGCATTCAAAGGTTTGCCCAAAACAACTATGTATCTCCTATTTTTTACTATTGGAGCCGGGAGTGTATAACTTAATAATACATTTTTGAATAAATCGGATATACTTATCCTTGCATCCATACATTTGCACACTGAAGTAACAGGTACATCTTTAGTCGTGTTAGACCGGTTACAATTCCCACTGCGCTTGATTTTCGCTAACGTTGGCTTTTGTCCTATGTACATACAGACAAATCGTTTGCAGAAGTTCATTCCATGTCTAC